CTCTCTCTCTCTCTCTCTCTCTGCTAGCTTTATGGTTTGTTTCTAGTTTATAGTTTTATTAGTTTATAAACGTCTCCCTTCTTCAATTCAAGCACTGTTTCAGGTTCAAATGGCATCCGATGCTGCCATTGTCACTTGGTATCTATCTGCTCTCTCTCATATTTTTCACTATGCTATTGTGGTATTGTGCTATTATGGTTGGTTGGTGAAGCATAGAGAGACACACACAGAGTAAAACACGTTTCATTGTATTTGTCTTACTACACACAGGGGCTCGGGTGAAGATGGACAATTGGGAATCGGGAACAACGAGGAGAAGGAGTGGGTTCCGAATGTGACAAACCTTTTGGGGCTGACAAACCTTTTGGAACAGCTCCGAATGTGAACCCGGGTGTTCCTGGTGCAGGACATGCCATACAGGGTGGGTATGCGAATCAGGCAAGTATAAGCCCTGGAATGATGGGAAGCTATGGAAATCAAGGTGCAATGCAAGGTGGCTACCCGAACCCGCAGATAGGGCAAGGTTGTTCAGGAAGAGGGCAGCATGGTGTTGGGCAATCTGGTGGCGCTCCTTACTTGGGGCATTAGGTGCCCCTGAGGTATAACAAAATCACTCTTTTACTTGATAATTTGAGTTATTCTCACGCTCACACCATAACTGATCACAAAGTCACTCTTATACTATTCCTTTTTTGGTAGTCAAATACTATTTGTACTTTAGTAAGTTTAATTGAATGAGTGTAGAAGATTTAATTGTATAGGCTAATAGGAAATAGAACATCATTGCTTGAATCCTATTCATTTTGATTTACTAGGTTACTGAAGGCTATTAGGGTTTTCAAGTTTTAGATGCCATCTATAGTCAATGCAGGGGTGATTCCATTGCGAGGAAAGGCCTGGGGTATAATTTGTTGTGTGAAAACACATTGACTTTTGGTTTTAGATGATAGAAACTTTGGCTTGCTGGGTATTTAGATTGATTTTCAAGAACTGAATAAGTGACTTTTCAATTGATCAAGGGAGTGTGCGTTCTTTTGAGCAATTCTTTTACAATTGTTAGGATCTTTTTCAATATTATTGCTTCTTTATTTTGTACAGCTCCTTAAGATGAATACTTTCTTGTCAAAGTTCTTGAATTTAAGCATTTTGAATTATCTAATGTTTTTGCAGCAAGTTGATATCATTCTTGCATTTAGAAATTAACTGCCGAGACCAGTTCGCCTTTCGACTTTGAAGTCTTAACTTGTATTCATTTTAAAGGGATTTTGGGTTTTAAACCTCTCTTTTGAAATTAGTTTTCACAATTTTTTATTAAATGTGCAGATCCCAAATAGGTGCATTAGTGTTTTTGTACTGGTCTGGTGATTCTTCTGAAGTTTAAAAGGAGCTGATGGTTACTACAAAGAGCAGAATCTTAAAACTGTCAAATGAAATTTCTGTTTTCCTTCCCTTTTCTGTCTTTTCCTTCTTCAAAGTACTGTAGTTTTTTTAATTTTATTTGTTTGAAAGATCAAGAGTTTGAGAAATTCTCTTACAAACCTATCTGTGTTTTATGGAGTCGCGAGGTTGAACAAAAATACTTTTTAAATTCCCAATCCTATGGATTAAATGAACTTTATAATGTAGTTTTTCTTCTGCAATGCTCATTGTTAGCTTTGTTTATTAATGTTTTTTTTATTGTTTTTTATTGGTTTTGAATAATTTTCTTATATTTAACACCACAATTTTATCATCTATAGTATATTTGATGGATCTTCCTAAAATGTGTTTTTGTCAGCTCTAAATGGTACTGAATGGTGCCCTAAGAGTCTATGATATATTTGTGTGAAACTTCAGACCTCTTATGATTCGCTTTAGATGACAACATGATCTTATTGTTTACTGCAGTCCTTTTGGCAGGTAATGTGATGCAGGTTGTGAGGCCATAGAAAATATATTGTTAGGTTTTTTAGAGTTTTGAAGTAGGAGCTGTGATAGTTTTCAAGTAAATGCTTCTTAATATAAAATTTGGTTGCTTTTAAGCCGGATACCAAAAGATGGTTGCTTTTTAATTCATATATATAACAACATCTAGGATATTTTATTTCTTCTGCTTCCATGTAGGGCTTTTATTTGGTTCTCTTGAAAGTGTTGAACTAGACCCCAGAGGTTACCTTTTTTATCATTCTAAGCGTACCAAAGTTGTTTGGTGCAGGTGGAAATGAGTATGGACAGTGTAGTGAAGAACCTGAGCGGAAAGATGACACTGGTAGACCTTTGAGAAGGGATATAGTGATCCCTCAG